ATGATAAACTTCTTGCTTCAAGTTGGTGAATTGAGCGGGTTTGATGAAAATGGAAAGAGCATGGGAGCTTTTCCAGTTGAGAAAAAGTGAGGGTCACCAATTACTCAAGACACAACATGTCTTGTGACTGCATTATCGCATTATGGACTATTGATGGAACTGTCACTGGGGAAATTGCCATCTCTGCCTCTTCGGTGATGGATTTCTCCCTGATTGCAGAACATAAAAATGGTCCAAAGCTCTTCCTCTTTGATTCTCAAGGACTGAAAACAAACACTTCAAACTTGACAATTATGCTTTAGATACATTAGATACAGATTATTTTTAGCTATCCAGCACTATTGTGCCTTCTTGAAACATCTTTGTTTATAATATCATTTTCTCTTTGTTATTTGCAGGAATACTTCATGATGTACCGACTCAAACTCAAACTCAAGCTCATGGCCGAATGCAAGGTAGGCTGTATTTATTTCCACATACATGTCTATATGTTGTGCCGTGAAGGCAGCATTGCATGTGGACGGCAATATTTGTTGGTAGGTTTTTTCACTACTTGGATAGATGTTAGACATTCACGTTTATCAGAAGTCAATTTCTAGTGACTTTGGCAATTCCCTGGCTTGTCCTTTTGGTAGAACTCAAGTGGACATTTTTGTGAAATTTTTTGATAACTATATGACATATTTTAAATACATTTGGAATAAATAATCATACTGAGCAGATGGTAAATCCTAATAACTTTGGTAGTCCCCTGACTTCTCCTGTAGTACTCCCTGCAGCTCAACGTTTTCATTTATAAGCTCAAAACCTCAACATTTACCAAGTTAGTCAAGTTTCCAGAAAATGTATTAAATACATTTGTAATCCACTGCTTTTTTGTTAAGTGGCACTATAAATGTTGCATTTTATAGATTGACTTGTCACAGACATTAGGGCTAATAAGCAAATGTTATAATGCTAGCATACTCAAATAAGATGGTGAACAACAATATACCTGGCAAACATCCCTATGTTAGCATTAGCATTGAGCTCACCACAGCGTTGCAGAGCTGCTAGCATGGCTTCATGTTGTTCTAAATAGAGATGTGAACTGAAGGTCATGGGTTGGACCCCTGCATTAGCAAGTGAATCCAATCCTATCACACTGAGGCTGTTGGCTCTTCAACTCAATGCTTTTAAGAAGGGTGTCCCGGAAGGTTTCTCATTCTTCCTGAACAAGCGCCTAACTTAGCTGGAAAAACAAACCATTAACCGAAAAGCTGTTTGTTTGCAAAGAATGACAACTGGCCTGCGTGTCACATGGTCAAAACAAAGTGAAGGCGTTTTGAAAAGAGAGGTATCCAGCCTTACTTATAGCTTTGATTCCATGCTGCTTAGTGTTTAAATAAGGGCGGTATTCATACACCCTTATTACTCTTTGATATCACCTCTTATGGTGCAAACACAGCCCACCTACACGCTACTATTTGCAATGCATTTAGTGTTATTGACCAAGGTCCATATGCACCCTATGATTTAAGGAACCGAACACTGACTGTTACTGCGCTTCACTACAGGGTTCATAGTATCCTTTGGATTGAAGCTGCTTCCGTTTATGCTGAAGGAACCTTAGAGGGGGTAGAGAGGTAAGCATTTCCTTGATGCAGATGGAGTTATCTGAAGTCATGGCTCCAGTATTTAGTCCTCTCCCACCTTCTTCTCTCCTCTTCCCCTCCTCTTCTCTTTCGCCCCTTCTTTCTCAATTGTGTCCCTCGCCTCTGGCAAATGGGAGTCATTTGTTTGTGTGAACTTCCCATAACCCGCGGCGCGTGAGACACTTATCATTCAGAGTGGGGCTGCTTCGTCCTGAGTTGTAATACCTCCTCTCCTCTCCTCCTCGTCTTCTTCTTCTCCTCCTCCATTTTTCCCTCTCACACCAGTTTGTTCCAGCTGACATCATCTTTCTCCATTCTTTCACTGCCTCTCATACTACCTTCTCTCTCTTTTACATATGCCCCGTTCAGCCCATCTCCCCCCCTTCTCTCTCCAATCTCATCCCCCATGTAATCTCGGGGTACACAGGACCGTTTTTTTTTTTATTACTGCACTACTCATCTTATCATCCTCCCTGTCATTTCCCCTTGCTCCGGACTTTTTTATATTCCTTTATTCTAACAAGCCTGCATCTCTGAAGCCATCAGTGGTCCAGCCCTTTTCATTTCCCTAATGTACCCCCCCCCCACACACACACACACACACACACACACACACACACACACACACACACACACACACACACACACACACACACACACACACACACACCCTTGCCTGGCCCTAACCCCTAGTTTCATTGCCTTAACCTGCTTCCCATCATCATGATGTAGAGCAGCCCAGTTTCATGCAACTGTGTAAATCACCGTGTGTGTCATCAGCATTATCCGTGCATGTACTATCTCTGCAGGCGAAGTGAGCAGTGTCAACACAAAACAGGGAATGAGGGAATAAAAGAGGAAGTCAAAGAGAGAGAAAAATAAAGATGGAGACAGAGGGGTGAGACAGAAAGAGTAAAACAAGGAGAGGAAGAGAGTGATTTGAGGGAGGGAAAGCTGTCACTGAAGGCCGAGGGGAGCCTTAACCCTCTTGCTTGCTTTAATCCCTCATTTATGTGAACTCAGCTTTGGAAATGAAGCCGTCACTGTATTTTCCTTCCATGCTGTGGTATAATCAGAAACCACAAATGCATGCCACCCACACACACACACACGCACGCACACGCACACAGAGACAGTGGCAGGACAGAGACACCGAAAATCACTCAGGAGAGGTTTTAAATTCATTCCAGAGTTGGCGGCAGAGATTCGTACAGCTCACCTTGTCTCCTAGAGGAGGTATCATCGGATATGTTGGAGACAGGGGGGAATTATGGGTAAATGCACTGGTGAGGAATGATAGCCTGCAATCTCCGGCTCTAATCTGGGATCGCTGACACATGCCATTCATTTCAGACCGTGCCAATATTCCCCTGCATGGTGTCGAGCATACGTGTGTGACTTTCTCAATCTTTTATGCCAATTTCACAAATTCGATTCAGAACTGAGTAGCTAAATCACAGAATGCTAAAACAAACAAATTACAATATGTGTTGTTAAGATCATTTTAATGTATAATACTTGAACTGCAGTTGCAAATATCCAAATGTAACTTTTTAGTATGTGTCTCACTTTAGTTGAAAATAGTTTCAAAACAATAATTGTGATAAACTAATCTTAAATGCTGCAGCCAAGCAAGAAATGTATTCTAATGGCAATCAAATATGAAAACACGTTCTTTTTTTAAATTATTTGGATTTTTCGGAAATAATTTTGACATCAAATTAGCTTAAGACATTGTTTTCAGTCATTAAAGAGATGTGTTTCTATTGTGAATCCACAGACCTATACTGCCATCTAGTGTTTATAAGAGGAAAGGGTGGATGGAGTGGTGATGGGTGGATGGATGGATCAGTTATTGATGGACAGATGACCAGAGAAGTGGAAATAACCTTCAATAATACAGGTCACACATTAATTGCACATTTAAGCAAATCACTATAACGATTACATAAAAATATGTCAAAATGTGAACCACTTCCCTAAGGTTTGGTACTTACTTTATGGAAAGAATACATTCATTATCGATTCACATTTAGTGAGTTGTTATTAGTGTTTAATGATAATCAAGAGCCTCTTAAAATGTATATACATTCTCAACAAATACACATTATCAGCACCTGGTCTGAAAATAAAATCGGACAAAAAAATCATATTCCTGTCCATCCTTCGCTCCTCCATCCTCTTCCTCCCCCTCGTCGCCCTCCTCAGGTGGAGCGAGCGTCATACTGGTGTGTAATATCGTTCTGTCAGTGTGGGCAGCCGTGAGGTGTGTGTGTGTGTGTGTGTGGGGGGGGGAACAGTGCGCCTCAGATGAGATATGTGACTGGCATGCTAACACGCAGTTTTATCTGAGGAAAAAGACAGAGACAGGGCGCCCACATCTCCTCACTATGGGCCTTTGATTAAAGCTCCCTGGGTACACACACACACACACCAAAAACACACACACAGGAGCACACAGATTATAAATAAATTGCAGGTATAGGAGCATACACACACATACAGTATACATACACACATCCTCCCACTGTGGGTGGTATTGTTTTGACCTAAGCCAGGTAGCTTGTCCATTATGAAGTTGATAGGAGGATTTGGCCATGTTGATTCTAGACAGCATCATATCCTCCACCATAAATAACCTGAGTGTTGTCTCCGACTCACACAACAATATACAGAGAATAAGAGCTCTCGGCTTTATCCCCCAGTCTCATCCACTGCACACACACACACACACATACACACAAACACACTATCTCTCTCGCAAACAGACACACACTCTCTCTATCACACATACTCGCACACACACACACACACACACACACACACACACACACACACACACACACACACACCGATAAAAATGATTGTGTATGGATGGAAGTAAACAAAATAACAGATTTAAAAGTACAGTTGGTCGCGGCACGGCTCAGTTTCATCTCCCATTGTCGTTTAACAATCTAGTTTGGCTTTAGGCTTGGTCCCAAAGTGTGTTTTCTCAGGTGGATGGAAAGTCGTTTGATTTTAGATGAGCAGCTGCATCCGGCAGTGCCGTCTCAATAGCGTCCAAAAAAGCTTTACATACACACCATACACACCATACACTCTAACCAATGGAACCGTGAGGCAGCATGATGAAGGAAATAATGGACGCACCACACTCTGTATTCTTGCATGTGGAGACACCATATTGAAATACATTCTGTCAATTTATCATCATCTGTTTGTTTAAATTGTTTTTCCTTTTTGGATCAAATGTAAAAATGTCAATTTCCATTTATTCTTTAGCAATATCTATTGAAATGGTTTCCTTTGACTGCAGCGACAGATGCCTGTTTGATTGAAAAGCAATTTATCTTTTTCCATTTTACACTTTATTTAGTCCTATACAAAAAAATGAATCAATGCATTCTTATATAACACATGGTTTTCAAATGATGCACACTGTATACAATAAGTAGTCAATTTACATTTAGTACAATGCTGTATTTCCTCTTGTGACAGCAAGAGGGCGCTACTGAGCCACAACACACTGTGTCTCTCACTGTAGGTCTGACCCATAGACTGGTCTGACCCCACATTCAATTAATTCATTTCAAACCAAATAGTCAAAATGGCATTTTAAACAATTTACTGCATAAATGAAGAAATATACACATTATCAAAGAAATACACAGTTGATTCTAGAAATGTAAAATAGCAAAACACTTTTATATTCCACAAACTTCCATTTGTCTATATACAATAACAAGTTACAATTTATCCATATTCCTTTTGCATTTCACTTGAGTTCTTTCAAATGTACAGTATGTATAAATTATAAGATTGTTGGTAATATCATGTTTACTCTGGCCACTCTGTTCCCATTTATATTGTATTTTAGCTGCTGAATACATGTATGTTTAAAATACTAGCACCATAGTGTATGATATATGTATTCATGGCCCAGTATTAAATACAAACCAGTAAACTTTCAGAGTCTTTTTGGATAGACAACTTAAATCCTGAAAATAAGCAACAATGTCCCTGAATGTCACACACATTTCATACACAATGACTGATGTATACATTCATTCATAATGTATAAAACAAAACATTCAATTTGTATTTGATGGCAGGAGGGATTTGTTGACAGCAGGCCTTGATTATTATCATTTCATTGCAGTTTTTTTAAGCTAGTACTTGTACTTTTACTCTTTGTCAGAACTCGCCGTTGCAGTCTTTGCGGTATAGATAGACCTAAAGAAACATGTGCCCAGGGGCCATTTTTCTGCAAATATGTGCCTAATAAAGCAGAACATTAGTCAAGCAAACAATCAAAAACATTTGAGGTGTTTAAAAGAAGAATATCTAGTTGTAAAACAGAGATACTGTTGTATTTGTTTAGGTAACCAGCAGTATGCACCGGAAAGTGAGATATTTAAGTAATTGTAGCTTTTATTACATCTGAGTAGTTGTTGCAACATGAGCAGGAGTCACAGGGGGGAGAGGCAGGGTAAAGTCTAACCACGGAACAGGGAGGTTTCATAATCTTTACACCATGACCACGCATGTTTAGAGGACACCGTGCCCGTGTCACGCTCTCTGACAGAGTGCAGGTCAGAGATCTGTCTGTGAGGGTGAGGGGCTGGCTGGAGGACAGAGGGGCTGGGGGAAGTGTTTGTACTTCTCTGGGGGGCTGGGTGATGGGATGGGAGTGTCAGGAGAGGCTGCAGGGAGAAAGAGACATTATATGTTTTAGCAAATATTAGGAAAAAGGTCATATTGTATGCACAAATACGGTAAAATGTATTGACTGTGGCCCAGGGGAAATGTTACACTGCTTTATAGATACAGCCCCCATCAATCTTCCGTGGCCATTAGGTGGTGTAATATCGCCAAATGCATTTTTTATTTTAAATGAAATCATGCAATACTCATCAATTCTTCAGAATGTTACATTTTTATGGATTCACATTCAGGTGGCCTATTTATTCTCTTCAAGGTAATGGAAACACAACTGGAGAATACTTTTTTGACATTTCACGCAGAGAGATGAATTGGACATCAATGTCGCTTTGATATTTCATGTGTGACTGTATGTGTTTCTTACCAATCTGTGGACTGTGAGTGACAGGCATGGTGCTGATGACCAGTGTGTGTCCAGTCAGAGGGTCCTGTGTCAGCTGGGTGTGTGTCGGGTGGTGCAGGTGTGTGGGCTCCAACGTGAGGCCTGAACACATACGTTTTAGTTACAGAGAAATCTATATATTTATATAGATTTAATCAGGTTACATTGAAGGGTTCACACACTTAATGAAACACTCCAAACACAGATTCCTTCTCTCACCTAACAAGCCCTCATCAAACCAAAAAGAACCAGTGCACGAATAAATCCCTATTCTGGACATTTTAATTAATTGAGGGAGTCAAGTTTTCCAAATGTATTCAGAGTTTATTTCAAAAGTGTATTGGCATGTGTGCATGTTTTATACAGTAATTGAGTCAGGCTGCCGTAACTTAATTTAAAAAGCTGATGGATCTATGTAAGAAGCTCTGCATGCTAAAGTACTCCCTCGTTTTATAAGGAAAAAAAGGAATTTGTTTAGTTTCACTTTCTTGATTGTGTGGCTTGGTTTGAAAATATATGTCAGCATCACATTCACATAACTAAATATAATCCCCACAATATTTCAATGCTAGTTGTTATCTGTGTTTGGTTTGTTCTGCATATCTACAGGATGCTGAAAAATAAAACACACATCTCTTTTTCTAAAGGTCTTCTAAGTCAGCTTGTCATATCGAGGGTTGTTTTTAGCATATATGGAGAAGACATTTTTGGAGATGACTTAGCTTTTATTTCCCACCTCACCCGGTGCTTCTGTTGTCTGTCATGGCTCTGCTTAGAATATGTTTGATGCATTCTACCTTTAAAAACAGATTTCCTTATTCATACACGTTTCAATGTGTTTGCAGATGTCTATTTTGTCTGTGTTTGGATTATCTGAAGTTAAACCAACTCTCTGCAAACTTTTACCTATTGTATATATCCAGGAAAACTTTGGAGATGTACTTTCTGTTTATGTGTTTCACTTCTTCATGCCTGCCCAGTTGCACACATTTATCATTGAATAGCTCCAGTGGAACTTTTGTTTTTCCTAGCTGAAGGTCACCCTATTTTTCTTTCTGCAGGTTTACAAGCAGTCACACGGGTTGCTCTCACCTCCCAGCAGCATCTCGTGCAGCAGGTTGTCTATCTTGGCCAGGCCGCAGAGCTTAATGAACTGGAGCTGTTCGATCATCTGCCAGGTGATGCTCTGCAGGGTGGGCAGCAGGAGCAGCAGCTCTCCAAAACGACCCCTGGAGTCATACTGACGGTCATTAATGTAGTCCTCCAGACTCATCTGGACCTGCACAAACACAAGGCCAAGTCTCCTGGTAAGTGGGTGGATTAGTATCTATCAAAGTGTTTGATACAATGCTAAGTAAAAGCCACAGTGGTAGTAAGGGGTCTTGTCGTAGAGCATAGTAGAAAAATAACTACATCACTGCAATAAGAGTCAAATGTTCGCCCTACCTGCAGACGGATGGCCTTGATCTTCGACGGGTCCCTCAAAGACTTTGCATCTGCAGATTGAAAAGGCACGGTGTGGAAGTGGGGGGTGGGAGGAGGGAGGGATTGAAGGACAGAAGGGTGAGAGAAGAAAAAAAATCTGAAAGATCAGGAATGGGATTGAGGATATGTGTGGAATTGATGGAATGATTATGGTCCAACTGGGGCATGGAGGTAGAATGAGGAGATTTAGTGAAGGGGAGAAAAAGGGGTGACAGGTAACACCAGATGGGGGAGGGGCTGCGCTCACACTAGGCCAGGGAGATAAAAAAGGGAAAGAGGGATTGGGATCTCACTTCGAGGGGAAATGTAACGAGATGAATAGGATTGGTTGGGAGAGGAGGGATGTGGACAGCAATATCAATGGGTCAAATATTTAGTTTGCTATTGTCAATACTTACTATGATATTCTGTCTTTAATGGTTTATTCTTTATTGTATTATTATTGCATTATCTATCTGGAGATGACAATTGAATGTAATGTTTTTAGCCCTTAGTATTAACCCTTTTGAAATTCTGATAAATATTATACAGATGTGGGCTATTACTCAGATCAATCCCTGTGCCAAGGAGATTACCAAAAGCAATTTAAAAAATAGTATATATGAATCTTGCCTAAGTAAATGAATCTTGTGTTCAGAACTTACGATAAATCTAAATAGCAAACACAGACAATAGTTCCTGAAAACAGACGAAAGGTATCCCTAAGAAGAGGGAAATCGTTTTAATTACCTGGGTCGAAGAAGACGATAGCCTTGAGCGCTGCATACTCGTTATCGTCTATTTGAATATCCTGAAAGGGATGCACCAGCTCACCCAGCACTCGGTTAGCAACCTTAAACATCTCCTGCTCAGGACTGTTCCTGTGGATCACACAGCCAGTTCCTGTAGACACAGAGAGAACCGTTTAGTACCGAGAGGGGGGGGGGGTAAGGTGTGTGGTAGAGTGAGGAGAACAAATGTAACCTTTAGAGAAAAACAGTTTTAAATCTGACTTCAGTGAAGTTATGATCCTATATAGCAATAGACATTGTGTGTGTTTGAGTGTATGTATTTGATATATCTGCCTACACTATGATGTTGGTGAATGCCTAGGTAATGATTAATGTCGTTTACAAGAGACACATTTGACGCTACAAAGAAATCACTTTTGGTTAATCATTCTCAGCTAATTCAACATTTAATCGCAAACACTTCACAATACAGTACTCCAAACTGTTAGTAGTTGTCAAGGCAGGAGGGAAGAAATACCTGATGATCAATGAATTGCTAAAAACTAATTCCTGGGTAATCCAAGGGCTATATAGTAGATCAAAGACAGGGGAATACTACATTGATGGATCATTAGCTAATGATTAGTTCAGTGTTCCTTCATCATAGCTGCTGAACTCAACGATTGATTAATGATCAGGTCGTTCCCCATTATTTACACGGTCGTTCCCTAAGAAACCACGCATATTTATGTTTACCCTAAAGTGTTACTAATTGGATCAGCCTTCACACTTAAGAGTGCTTATGCTACGTTAAAATAAGATGCTTTTCTACTGGAGAGTTCATACCTAAAAGCAGGAAGTCCTTGAATGGCATTGACCTTTTAGCGACCCCGAGCAAAAGGTGTTCACCTGCATGAGCCCTGAGCAAACTCACCTGGAAACACACACACACACACACACACACACACACACACACACACACACACACACACAGTTAAGCACAGACCCCAAGCAATGCAACAAAGCCCCCACTTTTGCCCTTACACACATCACATAGCTGTAGTTTAAGTACACTACTGTATATTTAGTCAAATCTATAATGTTGTACTTATATATTGCTTTTAATAATCTTTCATTTAATCTTTCTTTCATCCAAACTGAAAGTTATTTGTTATAATAAACAACTTGTTTAAGATGCAGGCACAAACATGATAAATATTAAAAGAAAACACTTTGAAGTCTGAGAGGTATTACTTTACATTAATGACAGGAGATTAAAACTAACAAGGAGGAATTATTTCCTGCAAGCGACAGAATAATCAAAGTTGACCAATCATGCGCCAAAGCCCCAATACCTGGTCATCCAATGGCAGTTCTCCAAATGCAGGAATGTACTTGGCCCACTCCACCAACACTAACAGCTGTTGTCTCATTGAATCACACACATCTCCCACAGTGGCCGACTTCTGCTCCGAGATGTCTGTTAATCCGAGTGGAGCAATGACCTACAGGGAGAAAAATAATAGTTTCCAGGGTCAAAATCCACTGATTTCCTTGTCTAAGTAATTTAATCATGCACAGGAATAATGGATTGTCACCTGTTGGGCCAGTGATTCAGCTTGAGCCAAAATAGTAATGGGGGGCAAGTCTTGGGAGTCAGGGATACTTCTTCTGGAGCTGATCCGATCTCTCTCGTTCTGTACGGCTAAAACGAAACAGAGAGCTGTAAGGTTTCTGTGTGTGAAGCAGAAAAAGCAATTAATAGGAATTGCAAAAGTCCACTAACTTTTCAAACTGGAATACGTCTAGCTATCTTTCTTTTATTCAAGTGTCTGTCTTGGTTTAGTGTCGGGAATTTAGCTGTGTTAAAAGTTGGGGGTTAGTCCATAAATGCAAACGATGGGAGAGCCGCTATGGAAGTTAATATTTAAGAAAAATAGTTATACAGGCTGGCATCAGCAACCGGAGTCAAACGTTAACCAGTTGGATTCCAGAACAACATGTTTGAATAACACATGATTAGGTGTCATATAACTCCTTGCCAAGGTTATACCCCTCATAAATATAGACACACACACACACACACACACACACACACACACACACACACACACACACACACACACACACACACACACACACACACACACACACTAAGTAATCACCTAGTTTATTGCCCAGCCCATTTCAACCATCTTGAAGCAGCTTTCAGATTCTCTTAAGACAGCCTCTCCCTAAGGGCCACCAGGTTTATGTAAAGAGTCTACTTTGAGTCAGTGGAAAAGATGAAAAATAATAATTTAAGATGAGCATATATAGCCTATACTTCCGACAATACGGAATAAATATCTACTGGGGTATCCAAATAGTTTAGACATTCTATTTTGTTTATCTAAATGTATACTTTTGGTGGAGTTTCAGGATGAAACATTGTTTAGAGAGGTTTCCCTACCTTCTTTCTTCATGCCAGCCCTGAAGCATTTGTTGAGTCTGCAGAAACGACACTGGTTCCTCTTATCTTTATCCACAATGCACTGCCTGCTGAACCTGAAGTAGACACATGTACAACGATATATAGGTAGCTTCACAGAGCAATACAACAATGTGCCATGCAATGACACGTTTTAGTTAGATCTACAGGCTACAAGAGTATGTTACCTATGTAAGTGTGTCATGATATAAAGTGTGCTCTCACAGTATATGTTTGCTATCTGTACCTGCAGGTGTATACGTGGCTCTTGCGTATGGAGCGTCTGAAGAAGCCCTTACATCCGTCACAGCTGGAGGCTCCGTAGTGTTTCCCCGTGGCTTTGTCTCCACAGATGGCACAGTTACTGCTCACCCCGTCTGGCAGGTTGGGCTCAGTCGGCATGCTGTCTGAAACACAGGTAAACACACAGAAACATACTCATACATCTGTATATTACCATGCAGAAGTGCCTTACACCTGCATTCTTTCTAAATGCCAGCAGGGGGCAACACCAGTAATCGCAGAAAGAAGTGTGATTGTATAGAAGTCTATGAAAAGAGCAGTGCTAGTGTGTAGATACCTTATTGTTTGCTAAGATGCTAATGCTAATGGTGGGCTGTCTGGACCTGCTGGGCCTCGTAACTCACCAGCTCCATTTCCTCAAAATATGTTTGCTTCTAAAAGTTTAGTATGGTCCAATGATAGGACTGTAACTGCATTATTTCAGATAATTGAAGCCACCATGTGCGGGATTATAGCATCTTAATACTCTAGTAAATGTATCCTGTGTAGATCCAATAGTGTAAACGCAGAGGTTTTTTGGTGTTGTTTTACGTGTTTGAACGTAAAAGGAAAAAAATAAACATAAATCCGGGAAAAGAATGAATGGGAGACAAATCATCTGGCATTTTGAACATTACCGTTGCCAGTTTTTCCTCCTCATCATCAGCATTGTCATAATCATCAGTGTTGTTATTATTATTATTATTATTATTATTATTATTATTATTATTATTATTATTATCAGAAGCATCATCATCATAACCAGAATAAAAACCATAACCATCATCAAACCTAACATTCATAGCAGGTAAAAGTTCATACTGCATTTACACACAACGACACACACACACACACACACACACACACACACACACACACACACACACACACACACACACACACACACACACACACACACACACACACACACGTCTCTCAGTCTCACGCCAGGCAGTGCAGATGAGTCAATGTTCGACTAACTCTCTGCTCACATGCTGAGGTGACATCAGTGCAGCGCTGCGTGCAAGCTCTTCAATAAAATAGATCTTTATGACCCATACCTGCCTCTCCTTCCTAAACACTTTCATGCTTTAACCACCGAATCCCAGCACTTTTCTTTCCTACACCACCACTGATTTTCACTTATACCCAATATAGCAATATAGAAACAACAGTGAAGTGAAATTATTTAAAAGTGTTAACAGGCAACCATGCACGCACTATTGCTCAACCTTCAAATGTCATGAGTTTCAAAATCAGTAAATATATTAATAGGAACCCATACTAATTTCCTTTTTCTGCAAATAGCAACTAATTTGCCTTTGTGCTAGTCTCACGCCACATCTGCAGTGAAGCCCCAAGTTCTTAAGAACACTCATCCGTAGATGCTTTAAGGTGCTGCATATTCATTATATGCACAGTACATGACTCCTTTTATGTCTCTGTACATATTAAGTCTCACTTAGTAAATGTATGATAAGGTGCTTATCATTCTGTATCATTGATTATAAAGATGGTTTATCTAGACACCATTATACTCTATGTAAGCAAATCTAATTTAACATGCAGGCTGAAAATCACAGGTTTTGTTCTCAAATAAGTGTTTTTATGTGCACGCCATGTATTGTGTATGTGTGTGTGTGTGTGTGTGCGTGTGTGTGTGTCTGTGTGTGTCTACATGCACTTACCTCCTCCTCCTCCACAGAGCACCTCTGCATTCTCAAAGCCCAGGGTGCTGTATGAGGGATCCAGGCCTTCACAATAGTTTGCTACTTCCATATCTAACAGAGATTTACTCTGAGGAACAGACGGATACTTCATTACTGTTCTCCACCCTTTCTTCTTCTTCTTCTTCTCTTCTCAGACCACTCTATAGTCTCTCTTTCTGCTAGTCCATCTAATTCCTACAGACATGATAAGGGAGATCCCTGGCATAACAGATCTATAATCCCGTTTGATTGGGCCAGAAGCAGGGAGAGGGGGAGGAGCCGTGGAAAAGACTGCTCACCTTATTGCACATTACTTATCTGTCCTTCTCTCTCGCACTTATCACAGGGGATGGATAGATAGTGTGGAAGGAGATATATCCCTTCACCTCCTCCACTTTTTTATATTTTATTTTCACCATGAGCTAGATTGTATCAGATTTTGAAGGTTGGATATGTATCTAGGGTGGGGGCGAATGGTATTTTCTACAGGCACATACATCTTGTGTGTGTGTGTGTGTGTGTGTGTGTGTGTGTGTGTGTGTGTGTGTGTGTGTGTGTGTGTGTGTGTCCTTCCCAGGCCTCCTAATCTAATCAATAGTGGAGTAATAGCACCACCACCTCAGCAGATATAATCTATAAAGAAGTGGAAAACACTGATAACTTCCAGTACCTCTTCCACAAACACTCCCTCATCCAACATCCAACCCTAATTAATAAAAGTTAATAAAATATGTATTATGTAGGCCATTTTCTAACTGGCCACTGTAAACATCTCAAAAGACATTAACTCAGTTGAAAGACTGTATTTCTTTTATTTTTGAATAGCTTAGTGGGTCATTTTTTCAATTTAAAAAAAAAAAAAAAGGGATTTTATGCAGGTTTGCGTTATAGTCATTGTTTGTAATCAGTAATTATCTACATTTGTAGGTTGCTGCTGCTGAAGATGCATGAGCATTTTCAGACAGTGACACACTTAGAGAATCTTTGTTCTTTTCCTTTGATAATGATGAGCCAATCAGCTGAGGAAAACAAGTAACTACTGGAGAGCAGCCTGCATTATTGTTCAGCTCAAGTTCTAAAAATGCATGAGAGTAAGTGAAACTCAAACATACGGGTTAAACAGTTGAGCTGCCTTTTCTTCAGTGCAGGAATGCTGTAAACACACCGTCATTTAGTACCCTAAACCTGTAAGATGTCCCAACCCGCCCATTTTACATCGGGAGTTTCATTGCACTAAATCTTTTTGTGTGGCTTACAGGTAATCAGTTTGGGGCATTTTGTTAGAGAGGGCCGTAAATGATAAGAGGCAGTATTATGGGAGATGTGATGCCCTACATCAGTAATGAGAGATGGCAACGCAGCCAGAAAGCGCGGGGGTAATATTGGCTGAGTAAATCAGAACGTACATTATCACAGATTACTTAGGGGACATAAAGGGAAAAAGAAATTAGTATCCGGTCACAGGGTAATAACTGACATCTTAGTTAATACGCAAGGCTGGGATAAAAGGGGTTGAGTGTCATAGCCAAGAGAGACAGATAGAGAGAGGAGTGATAGAAAGAAGTGAGAGATTACAGTTTAACCAGGCCTGCTGACACATCAGGTTTCTGGAGGAGCAAGAATAATTTACTCTTTACAGCCACACACACACACACACACACACACACACACACACACACACACACACACACACACACACACACACACACATAAAAAGGACTGACACTGCAGCACGAGTGTGGTGGATTCAATGTATCGTCATCAAATATGGAAGTAAATCTGCATTAGGTTAAAAGAAGGGGTAAAGTGAGAATATACACTGCATGAAAATGGTGTTTAGGGGCTATTGGTTTAAAATACAAAAAGAAAGCAAGGCGTGTTGAGTTTTCAGGCTTTGAGGACAGATGAAATTCCAGTATTCATTCAAGTGAAAATCATTTTTGCTTTTCTGAAAAGGTTAAAAGGTTTACAAAGCTCTTGCCGCCTCACCCTCCTCTTGTAAGTGCAAGGACAACACGCCTAGGAATTCAAGTCTTTATTATTCTCATGAGTGCGTTTAATCTTTTTCTTTCTACCCTTTCAATGTTTGGCCAATCATGCCCTCTTGATTTATCTAGATACAATGTCCCAATCACTCTAGCTAATCAGCGGATTATAAAGACATGACACTCTGAATATTAACACTACTAGGTTAACATTACACATTCATACAAATACTTGAAAACATTATGATTTCTTCAGCTGAAAACCAAACAGGACGTCACTGAGAAACCGTGTCTGCTTAGCAACCAAAAGCTATACCAAGCCATAAAGCCCTGCGCTAAGAGGCTACCTCTGTGTGAACTGGCCATAATACTGTCGCCTCTATTTAGATTAGAGGTTTTAATAGCTGCAGATGATGCTCTGCCACCAAACTGACTCTAGTAAACCTCTACTTCCTGATACCTGGGCAGCAGTAAAACACAGTAGAATATTGTTCACTCTTGAAACTCATCCGACTGATTAGCTTTTCTTTTGAAAGAGTTATTTGCTTTTTATTCATGTTAGCTGCTATGATATTGAGCAACTTAATAGAAACATATTAAAGAATCATTTTAAACAACACTCCTATAACACTTTACAATTTCCTGCATTCTTTATGTATTATGCAAAAGGTCCTTAAAGTTCCCTCAAGTAACAACATGATAATAATATCAATATCAATAATAATATAATAATATAATAATATCAACCTTACACTAAATTAAAGGACTAAAAAAAAAAGTTTTTTGTGCGTATTATTATATTACACACTAATGTATCTATTTAACTTTTAGCATGTATGTATTTTCAGTAGTGCTATCACAGTAGAAAAACACAATGTGTCTGTATAACCATCTTTCTGCTTAGCAACCTGCTGCTCTGTAGCTGCTCTTCTTATTGATGACATCCCCTGCACAGGTGAACACGTTTATCACATGATCTTTACAGCACCGCATGCGGGACAAAGTGAGTCTCTTATCTTTTGTTTTATAAAATACTGTGGCGAGAACACCATCTCATGAAATACACCGGACAAAACAAAACACATAATCTACACAATTTGGGCAACCCCATTTTTATCCTACAATTCAAAAGCATATTCTTTACAGAACACAAAACCAATTGAAGTGCACGGCGAGTAGAAGCATTACCTCCAACATATAAACCACGTGATTTAGCAGAACCAAACTTCCTTCATTAAGAGCTCAAGGTAAGCTTCCTCTTCAAAACCTCATAATAACTCATAATGCTTACAGTTGGCGTGGATGTTTTGCATGTTTAGAACTATATATTTTCACGAGAGGACTTTGACTTACCTGTGCTTCTGTTTCCGTCTGGAATGTGCATTTATCCAGGTGTACCGTGATCAGCCCTTCAGCGCGACATTAGTCTCCCGCTGAGAATAGGTCAATGATAAAAGCGCTCAACAATATTAAAAGGGAAGGTTGGAGAGCTGAGCGGGATATCATTCATGGAGCAGCACATTGGATGGCGCCACCATAGCCCTGTCATTAGATCGATTTACTAAACAAACTCAAACCAGGGTGGGGATGTTAAACAGTAACCCAGAGCCATAAAAACCAAAAGGAAAGGATCACCAGGTGTGTGTGTTTGTGTGCGTGTGTGTGGGTGTCAGTTAGGGCCTGTAACACCCCCTCTGAGGGCAGAAGGTAACAGATTCAAGAGGCTTGAGGTAATGTTTCACAAAATAATGGTGAAGAAGTAACCATTTTAGACGTTTAATTTCACTCTGTACACACACAGGGTTAAGTGTTAGCAAATATGTTGAAACACATGTAAACTGTGTATTTCATTCTGACTCTTATGTGTTTTACAATAAGTAACATATTGGATTAAACAATTAGGAAACCAAACAGCAATTTTATTAGCTAGTATTACAAGTATAATGTTCGAAGCCTGTTATATCCACACACACCAGCAGATGGCAACAGTTCATTCATTTTGAGCCAGGAACAGTTTACAGTCTCACATTCTTACAACATTTTCAAAGACAAATCCAATAAAAAGGCAAAAAACTGGAATATTATTGCATTTCTCACACAAGAAAAATACGGCAGAGGACACAACAGTGGTAGGATTTAAAAGTGGGAAAGCATGATAAATACAAAAAAATGCTCCAAAGAGATCAGAAAATAGCCACTGAGTAAAGACTATTTTTGTATGTTTTATACAAATCTCTTCTTTAATGTTTTTGAAGTTTTAATCCAATCAGTGGTAAAGATTTTTTGTAATCTGAGTAGTTATAACATTCAACTTTTTATAAAAATGCACAATGGCCATTTTGACCCTAACCTGATTCCTACTTCTTCCAAAATAAAGCAAATCAAGTATCCGGACCCCCTTACACATTACATTACATGTTACTTGTTGGACGCTTTTATCCAAAGCGACTAACATACATAGCAACTTGGGGTGAAGTGTCTTGCCCAGGGACACAACGACATGCTGACTGCAGTAGGATTTGAACCTGTGACCCCCCTGATCCGAACACCAACGCACAACCCACTGCACCACACGCACTTCCAAGAAATGTCAAAAAGTCATTTTGGGGCAGCACATCAACCAGGTTCTCCTGCCCAGGAAGGTGAGCATGTCCAAACAATTAAAAGTGGTCAGAGTCAGAAACACCTCGTTGACGTTCTCCAGGTGGATGTTTTCTAAGTAGTTGAGCCGGAACATGTGGTAGGGCATGAAGCAGACGACCATGACGAGAGCGAAGCACAGACTCTTCTGCTGAGCCCCGTAGTCCTGCTGCGAGCTGCACCCCTCACGGTGCTTCTTGTATAAAACCCTCAGGGCGTTGGCTTGGAGGCCTGTCAGCACTGAAGCTACCAATATGATCGCTATACTGACGATGTAGTTTAACACTTTTGCAGCAGCTATGTTGTTTCCAAACTTGAAGCAAGTGGTATTTGTGTTGTTTTCACTGCGCGTGTCGTTTCCCAATGTGCCGTAGAAAGCATGCATGATGCAAGGGACCACGACGAGCACCACGATCCACACCGCTCCACTGATGAGGAGAGCGTGGAACTTCTGGAAGGATACCACAAGCTCAGTGTTGTAGTAGAACGAAATCAAGCGTGTGACGAGGATGATCACGTAGAAGAGGAAGGACATGTACATGTGGATGTGGATCATGCCGCTGATCACCCGGCAAAACCCGGAGCCCAGGTTCCATTGATGATTGGCGTAATAGTAAATCCTGAAGGGCACGCTCAGGAGGAAGATGAAGTGGGTGAAGATGAGGTTGAGTACGGCTATGGAGGTGATGGATGTGGAGCTGAACCTCATGATGTGCATCATCAGGCTCAGGCTGACGATGCCAATGAGCAGAACCACCGAGTTGATGACCAGGAGGACGGTGTGGTACTCTTTGGAGTCTGACGTATTGTCCAGGGGGGCTGCGGTGTTCGGTGAGGAGCTCAAGGTCATCATGGAGGTCATCATGGAGGTTAAGGCCGAAGATAACATGCTTTGGGGGACCGTGGTAGCCATCTTAGATAGGGAAAGAAAATAATAATAATAGCTTGGATTTATATAGCGCCTTACGCTTTACAAGAAAGAACAGGGCAAAACAAACATAACAAAACAAAAGGCAGTCAGACAGACAAAAACAACAAATAGATTAGGGGCCAAAGGCCTTAGTAAACAGATGGGACTTGAGGGCTCTTTTGAAGGCGTCAAGCGTGGGGCTGTTCCGGAGAAAGAAAGAGGGGAGGAGAGAGAACAGGAGGGATTGGTGATGTGATGGAGGGAATCAATCAGTTAAGGGCTTCTTTTGAACTATTTCGTCCATGTTGTGTGAATTTTTCTTACCATGTTTTCTCCTTAAAACGTTTTTTTTAGGGAGTAAAATTGTAAAATTGACTTGACCGTTAAAAAACCCCGAAGTAGGCTTAACTAAAAATAATACTAAATACAAAATAATGTAAAAAATTGGCTCATGTAGCTTATGTTTGAAACAACACCACATTATATTGACATACTCCACTGATGCTATTTGTTCATATTTGAACACAAAATCCAGATCAAGAGATTGAAACCGAATAATAATTTTGTCGGACATGCTTCAAGTGTTTTAACAGGAAACCAGACTTAAAACATACTAAAGATACTACATCTCAAAATACAAACCCTAAAATACAAAGATAAGAAACAAACACATTGTTCAGGCCATGAAAAGAACATTGTGAAACTGAAAAGGAAATAGCATTATAATCGAAAAAGAAAAAAAAGAAGTACTTACTTTTTAGTTCTCAGAAGAACCGCCAGCTGAGTGCTCTTGAATGTGTGAAAATGACGCATCCAGAGCGAGTATTTCCTCTACATTAAATCTAATTATCTTTGTCATCAGGATTTGCCGGCACACATGGGGTAAGCTCTTCGTGTGGTAAACGCCTATGTGTGTGTCTGTGCACTTATTGGTAACAACTCATGTGGAAGTTGAGATTGTGAAAATCAACCATGTCTGTGTTTCACCAACCACCGTTCTGTTTTGCATATATAATGTGTGTGTTTTTATTTGTGCGTGTGTACTCCTTTAGCAACTGGAGGTGTTTCACACTACCAGGAACTTGGCTGCTTCCTCCTTCTGGTCACTACACTTCTCTACTTATTATTTTCTTTAATATTAAACTATATACAAACCATTATAATATGATATGAAACTGTAGAGACAATGCCATGTAGAATTGTTGACTAGAAATAGAAATGTATAATGTAGGAGCAACATAAAAAATACTTAATGCAATAAACTCTATAAAATATTATGTTGTGCTTACTCAATACAAATCTAATAAATTGTTATCAAATGTATGAGTCCTTATAGCTATCATCAGCATGCCCTGTTACAAGCAGGTTATACCTAATCAAAACTATATTTATAATGCATTATAGTCATGTGCATAATAGAAAGGATACTGCTATTTGAAATCTCTTATGTGAGTTTTTTTGGATTACAGTTTTTTTAGTACAAAAAGCAATCATATCTAAAACAGAAAGCATTCATATTCAGCAGAAGTCCTGTTTGTCTTGAGTGTCTAGGAACCACACAGAGTTCAGACAGATCACCCCTTACCCAAATAGTCTGCTGCTCTTAATTATTGCATGGAGGTCAGTGACACTGATACATACAACAACAGTTGTTTACTCTACATTACACTATGGAGTCAAAGTATTGGCCTGTGGAAATAGAAGAAGTGAGAGAGGATGTGGTACTGCTAGCTGTGATGTGGAGACATATGTTCATCCACTATTAAAACCTGTGCAAGAACTTACTGTAGTTAAAAGGCAAATAGTGCCACTCCAGCTGGTGCAATGAAGCTGAGAACGTTTAGATATAAATATTTATCATATTCAGAAAAACCCCACAGATGTAAGTACAGAACATCCCTTGTCCACAAAGCGAGTAGCAGTAATATTTGGCTATGTTCAGTCAGTTCATATTACTTTGCTACCCATCATCATGTCCCGAAATTTGATCTGGAAAACTAAGTTGCAAAAGAGAAAACCAGGTTTTTTAAATTTATTTAAACAAACTATCCATAGGTTTTTCAAAACACATCTTAACAATCGTATGTACAGACATTTACAAGTTTGCTACCCACAATCCCTTTGCTGCCCACTGAGTACAGGCTCCACACACAGAGCATAACATTGATACTGGCACCTGGTTTATTCTGTTAATGTTTAGTACAAAACACACTTTTTGTTCATTCCTGTCCACAAACATATTATCACAATTTTCTTTAAATAAATCCCTTCTCCTTACCTTGTGAGCATGACACGTCTCGGGTAGCTTCCCAAGAAATACAAACTCAAGACAGTTATGAGTTGACCTTTCTTTGGTGGATCCTGAATCCTTGGCAAAGGCATAAGTTCCAGTCCGATATTCAAATGGCCTTAGTCCATCCGTCAATGATTAATGTAAAAACAATAATGTATCAACTCAGTGTACAAAAGAATACAGTGCAAACAGAACCTTGGATAAGTCTCGAGCCACTTGAATATGTCCTATGTAAACCATCGATCTAAGGAGTTAGTGTTTGTTTACATTCATACAAGGAAGAACAAAGGAATAATGTTCTCAACCTGCACTAATTCACTATTGTAGACATTTTTAAAGCAGTTCTGAGAGGATAGTTGAAAGCATCTGACCATAAAGGATGTACAAGAGGGGATTTCCCACAATCCAAAACAATGTAGCTTAGTGGTGGGAGACTCTGCACAGTACAGTATAATGACTCATAAAACAATATCCCATATCTCCTATAAACTAACCCTGGCTTAATAAGGTGAATGCTAAATGAAAAGCACCTATACACAACGCTTGGTTGCACTATACATGTTTAGGGGAAGTGGGTCTTGCGCCTCCTCCACAGAATGAGTCTTTGTGAGGTGAGAATGTGCGTGACCACGCTGAGCAACATCAGGAAGATGGTCATTGACATCACTATCACATAATGGCTGATGCTGAAAGAGACAGAAATACACTTATAATCAAGTGTGTGCGGCACATTTAAAGTAGAGGCCGAAAGGATCATGAAGGAAAGTGGAGGGTAGTGTTATTGTGAGTCAAGTGATACTTCAAAGCATGTAGGTAACTAACCTTGTTCCTATGTCCAACCAGCTGCCGTAGTCCTGCACCAGGAAGAAAAAGTGCTGAGGAGAAGAAGAATGAGTTGAAGATATGGAAAGGTAAAAGAGAAACATGACTTGATAAAGAACAACAGTGCATAAAACATTTAACCCAAACATTTCAAACATCCTCACCAGAGCCATCAAGTCCGAGATGACCAGGACAATGAGGAACAAACTGGAAAACAAGAGTGGAAAGAAAGCGTCAAAAGTAAGATCTTTGAAATTATAAACCTCCACAACCACATGTGTACGTCATACAGCATGCATGGTAGAATGACCCCCACTTCGGACAGACAATAAATACAAGTATGTGAATACATTGAGTTGAGCATCTTATTCTGGAGGACTTACCTTCTTGATGAAAGCTGTGTTGCAACCTGGATGGTCTCAAATGTACACATCACTATAATGAAAGGAATGATAACCTGGAAGTTCAGAGAAAACACATTCAAAGTTTATTTCTCAGACAGATGTATCAATATACTACTCTCCTTTCTTGGGACATTTATTTCTTGAGTTATGATGATAGAAGTATACAGATAGGCAGCACAATCAATACAAAATGGTACCTTCCACATCATCAGCCCTCCCATGATGAAGGGGTTGAAGACAGTGAGGAAACAATAAACAGACGCTGGGTCAAAACTAGACAAAAGGAGAAAGAAGGATTAAATCATTAAGAGAATAAATCTGTCTCTCCATTGTTTTCTTAAAAGTGCAGAGTGACATTCGGACATACTGATCAGTGCAGTGTATGAAACCCCACATTAACACAAAGGCATTTCACAAAGATAGTGTACTGAGTCTACTGTCACTGGTTTCCTTTCTATAGTCAAATGAAACATTGCTATTAAAAAAAAAAATCTTGTGTCATTGTTCAGCCACAAAGCAGACCTTCACATTGCCCAAGATGCACCCTGCACCGCCAAACACAACTTCCTGCCACCAACCACCCACCCACACACACACACACACACACACACACACACACACACACACACACACACACACACACACACACACACACACACACACACACACACACACACACACACACACACACACACACACACACACACACACACAGTATTATGACATTGAGCTACATACCTGTTAATGGAAGCTATGTTCCCTGTCCCGAAGAACGCTGTTATTATAAAAAATACCTGAAGTGAAAGTATGGTCAAGGAAACATTTGGAGCATTATCTTAACTTTGCAAAATGATCATCTAATGCCATTTTCTAGTTCTGAACTAAAGTCTCCATTGGTACCAGTTTGAACAATGTCACTGTTGCAATATACTCTAGGCAGGATACAAAAAAATAAGATCTTCTGATGTCATCCAACTTCAGTTGTCGGATCTTGGTGATGTCGATGTTTGCAGAGAAATCGATAGTGGAGAGCTGAAAGAAAACACACACAAAAGCATTATTATCACACATTCATTTACACACCCAGAGAGATGATAACGCTAAGTTAGCACTCAGACGTTGTGTACTTATGTAGAGCTTTAGGGGGGTGTTATCACAAGCAGGGATTTCCTTGTTTATTTAACTAAGAAAATGACATTAAAGGAGTGAATCCAAAGTATAGAATATATATTTACATACACAAATAGAAGGAAAATACGCTTACACAAGATCAGCCAGAGTATTCTAGTACATGCCATAAGGAAGTGTTGCCGTTTTTGTTTTATACAGTTGATAACATTGAAATACTTGGATAATTTCCATGAAATAAAACAGTGTTTCAGAAACCAAGGGATGTGTAAACTATCAGTATATGTAATTTTAATTCTGTAGAAACCTATAGTAAAATATTTAGACACACACTTTGTTTACAGTGCTCTAAAAACTCTACATTTGGAGACAAACACTTGTTGTTTTCACCTCTTGTCTGCCAGAGACGTCCTGAGCGAGCATGGCTTCCTGTTCAATGTTGATCCACACAAACATCAGCCATGACAACACAGGGGGGAACAATGCCTCTGACCTGTGGGGGGGGGGGGGGGGAATACATCATAAATGATATAACTCTAAAATGTAATTTGACATGTAAGTGCAGCTGCATGATGTGTGTGTGTAATATTCGTGTCTCACCCGGTGCTGAGCAGCAGGTATGTGGCTGTGAGGGAGAGGAATATGCTGAGGAGTCGGTGGAAGATACGAGTAGAGCTCAACAACGGCAACAGCATGGACGACGCTGAAAAAACACAAGACACAAGTGAGGTGAATGCAATTGCAAAAAAAGGTTTAAAGAATTCCCCATGAATTCCTTACTTTCTTTGAGTGACTGTGTAGATGGAATACCAGATTACGTGGAAAATCAAGCCTTACAGTATGTATGTGTGTAAGCATTTGGATTTCAATCATGTGCCTAAACTTAAAACATACAATCAAAAATGTTCTTTCAATACGTTGTAGTCCTTTAAACCGTTCTTTTTGTAAACATCAGATGTTATGTCCTAACAGCTACATGACTATGATTGCCTGTTGCATTTTCCAAGTGTGCATTGTCTCAGGAAAGCAAGGTGGCTTTGATTTCACTTTTCAAAATATAATGGTAGGCTGATATAGAGTAGTAAACTTATCCTAACCTCTTATTTCTGCATTTTCTTCATCCATTAATAACATATGGAACCCTGTGAGATCTAACCAGGAATTAAATAATTTGATTTCTTTCTTAGATATCTGATTATGTTTTTAGAAAATGACATAAATAACACATCCCCAGGAGATTCTGAGGTGTTGGACAGATGTTGGACTCACTCACACCCGCCTACCTAACGTGGTCCAGCTGATGATCTGGTTCAGAAGCGGCAGGCCCTGTTTCTGCTGCAGGCTGGAGTGTGTGAGGGACGGCACGTACGCACACACTGCCACGTGGAGCATCTGTACAGTGAGACAGGTAATCATTTATTTCAGAAAATGCAATGACTCAATCTCACCCAACGTGACATGTGTTGTAGTTACCTGGGTGATGAACTGCTGCCGGTCAGTGAGGTGCAGCGGAGCTTTCTGCAGCGCGGACCACAGGTAACAGGCGGAGGTGAAGAGAGAGAGCACACCTGCACAGGTACTGAGCAAACACACAGAGTACGTTATTATAACAGACATGAGCCCAACACACAGATTAATTTTGCACAATATGTTGAATATGAATTCTGCTGTTAATTAGCAATTCATTTGATCGTTTCTGCCTCTTCCACTTGACATCAATGTTCAGAATAATCATCAGAATCTGAATTTATCCCTAGGAAAAAGTGGGTTTTGTTCAAAATGTAAAAAGTAATAATAAAGAAAAATATAAATATTTAGATGAACATAAGAAGTTAAGGTAAGAATGTGCATTAAAAATAAATTAAATAAAGGATATTTTAAGAAAAAACATAGGAAGGTAAAGTTAAATGTAAAAAAGAAAGATAAATCAAATTAATATTTATATAAAAATTGGATATTTTCTTATGTAAAGTACTGCTTACTACATTGTGATTATATACATATAATAATATAGGAAAAATATTAGCATTAATATTCTGACATTGATTCGAACCATATCGCATATCTAATTTTTTTAGCTAACATCACTCTGGTATGACATTTCTGAAAGTATAGCGATATAATTATATTTCCTTCCTACCGACGGAGATTCTTCTGGTTTGAGAGTTTGGGCTAACGCTGGGACACTGTGGTTAACTTTCTGATAAATGTAAGCAAATAGAGGAAACACTCACACCAGATGTATGTTTGGCTCTCTGCCCACAACAGGCATCAGGGGGAAAGCCGCCAAACACAGACAGCCCAGACACCAGCTCACTGAGCGGAACTGCAGGGGGACAGAGGAAATGAGTTCATATAGTTAGAAAAGGAAGAAATAAAAACTAGGTATTTATCAAAAAGAAGGCAGATTGTGAAGTGTGATGTCAAATCTATCAGTCACACCTTCTGTCAGCAGGACGTTTTGCTACTGTGTTCACACTCACAGATGTCATTTACACTGGGGACGCAGGGGACATGTAAATATATTATATATAATTTGCATAGCCCTAAGCTAAAAAAAACAACCCTAGCTTACTCAATATAAAAGGAGTAGTCTTTCATGCACTGATCAGTATCTGTACAAATGTTTCAGCCTACTTTTCACTTTTTTTCCTCAAATTGAGCCTTCCGATTAAATTGCTTTAAAATATATGTTGTAGAGAATGCGATACATCATTTTCCAAAACCTTTCCAGGTGAGGTAATATTCAAATCCCATGACCTTTTCCTTGTGCACAGTACTGGAATCTTCTCTCCCTCTATCTCCCCTCCATTTTCAACACAAAGTGATGCCATTGTTCACGCTTCAGTTGTAGTAAACTCTACCCTTATTTACGCCCACTTTGTTGTGATACATCATTTTCCAAAACCTTTCCAGATAAGGTAATATTCAAATCCCATTACTTTTTCGTTGTGTACTGTACTGTGAAAGCTGAAGCAGTAATCCATGATATAGTTACCTTGGCTTTTCCAAAAAGTCCCGAGAGGAAGGGCCAGAGCGAGAGGACAGCCAGGCCCACAGTCAGCATGGCGCGATGGAAGAAACTCACCACCTGGGGGCAGCAAAGGTACACACAATGACTACCCTTACATTGTTTGTCATATGTACTGTATGTGGAGGTCAACTAAAGGCTTGTAAGTAAAGCTGTATCAGTATCATGAAGCAGACATTTTTACATTAAAATACATGAAAGACTCCTACCAGTAGCTCGATCCCAAACGCCACCAGCACAAGATAGCCAAGACATTTCCACAGTGGCAGAGAGGGAGCCGAGCGAACCAAATCTGTCAGAGTTCTATACCTGAAAGGGATCATTAATTAATGAGACATTATTTTTCTGTTGTGAATTGCATACAAGAAAGAAACATGCAAAGACTGTCTGTCCTTTAATCCATTTTCAGAGGAGGAACATGAGTGGATACACTTCAAAGGATCTAATTAACACTTCACTGCCGCTGTGCCAGACGTGCATGAACATGTTTGTGTGAGGTAAAGTACAAATACAAATCTGCTATATTCATTGATTGTTGAGATGTCCATTGATGTGTGTTTGATATGTCTAACATCCTGTCTGTGTGAGGTGTTTCCCAACCTCTCTATACAAATCAGCATGCAGATTATTATTATTATGTGTTTATACTCACTCTTTTAGCACCGAGTACCACACAGGAACAGGTAGCAGGCAGTAAATATAGTAGGTTACGGGGCTCCTTTGGATAAGCAGGAACACAGTGATCACCACCGTCACACAGACACACAGCCTCGCCAAAGTGTGGCTGTGATTCTGCACACATGCACCGGGAAAAAAACACCAAAAATGTAATTTAGTGAGGCAATCAAGTAACTTTAATTTGCCTTGGTGGAGGAGATATTTAGAGGCAAAGAGAGAGGGATTGTTGTGTATGTCTCACCTGATTGAGGAGACTGGGGTGACGGTCGAGGCTGGCGTGAGTCTTCAGTATCACGAGCACAACATATGAGGTCCAGCCTACGAACCCGAGCACTACGCTGCAACCCAGGAAGAACCTGTCGTAGGTGTGGTAGTACACCAGGCCCTCCAGAGCGTTCGATATCAGAGAGCGGCACAGAGAGATCTGACAAGAGGCAGACGAGGGGGAAAGAAAAACATCATTGGTGAATACATTTCAACATCATCCTAATGGATTTGTATACTTGCAAATGTGCCCATACACTGCACTATCCTTCTCCAAAATACTCACATAATCATCATACTTCTCCAGCTGAATCAGTATTCTGGCCTTGTGGAAGAATTCAGCTTGTTTTGACTCAGTCAGGAGTCTGGGAAAATCAGAGAGACAAAGCCATAAAGTCAGAGTGTGTGAAATTGCATTTAAATGTGGTCTGAAATATGGTGAAGAAATAAAACCGGTTTCTTTGCTTTAATACTCAGCAAACAGCGATAATATTAAACATGATCCCTTGGTCAAATAAATGCTTGAATTAAAAAATGAACACAGCAAATAAAAATTATTTAATTCATTGACAGCTATCACAATTCACAAACTCACTAATTGTACTTACTGGTATGGGGTGAAGAGAAATGACAAAGTTGTCTCCTTTTTCTGAGCCATTTTCATCTACAAAAACAAACAGAACAGCTCACTCACTATAGATTTAAAAATTCATTTATAATTATAAGACATTGAATGTAGGCTTAAAGAACTTAGAAATGCCAGAGTGTTTAAAACTATCATTTTAAAGTTAGTCTTATTAATCAAATAAATAGTACAGAAAATAATACCAACATTCAAGTATCATATCAACTTTAACTGATACTAATTTATTACCATAAATAAAGCTCAGTAATAGCATAGCTTAATGCATGTATACCTTGTACTGCTCCAGTACTTGAATAGCATTTGTGTAAATGCTCTCCGCCTTGAACTGGTCACTGTTGTTAAGGTAGAGAAGAGGTAACACACCCTGAAGAGACAAATACACATAATTACTATTAACTGATCTGTTTTTGACAACTTTCCTGATAGAAAGGACTAAAACATTTCCACTTTCCTTAATTAATCTCTAGACTTACAACAGAGTTAACAGGAAATGGCACACCAATGAGAGAAGCCATGAGGGGAGCGATGTCTGCCTGTAAAAAACACACAATATATTTAAATATATTACAATAACTGATTAAAGTGGACCTATCATGCTATATTTGAATAATATAGTGTAGGACCATACCTATATAAGGCATATTTATACTTTGTATTTTTCAAAATACCAAACAGATCATGCATTTTAGCTATTCCTCATTTCGCTCAATTGAACACTGTCTTTGCATGGGCTGATTCTGTGAGAACAGCACCATCTACAGGCCTGGCATATGTACTACAGCGTCTCCAGCGCTTTGAACGGCAATGTCCGTGGCTGTCTCCTCCTGATTGGTGGAGTTTGGCCCAATAGCCGTAGCGCCACTTCTGTGACGTCACAGAAGTGTTCAAATCTGGATCAGTCTGTATCAGATCCGTTGCTGCCCCTTTTTAAGAGATTTGGGTATGGAGGGAAATAGAGAGGGTTGTGTTTTCTGACACTTGGTGAGTTCCCTGGAACACCGGGGACACATATTCATGTATAAAAGACGTACAAAGGTGCATTTTGCATGATAGGTCCCCTTTAAGTACATTAACTATAGTTCCAATAAAAAAAAACTAGAGGGTAGTTATAATATAATTATACCTTGAAACGGGTCACGGGAGACCCGAACACAACATAAGGGTTAAGAAGGAAATGGGTATGAAACGGATATTTTTTGTGAGTCCAATTATCAAAGGACTATAATTGCCTCCCCTAAATCTCCCGTTTAAGCATATAGTCTT